AAACCCGTTTTAATTTATTAAATTTAAAAACTTATACATACATTATTTTATAAGTATAATATTGGAATACTTAATTTTCTTTTTTTGCTTTAAATTTTTTACGTATGTATAACATCTTTTTTGTAGTAAAACATTTTAAACATTCTATTTTAACTTTTTTTGCTATTAAAGTTAAGACTAAAAATTATGTTTTACTTTTTTTACATTTCATATACATATATATGAATAATTTTTAAATAATTTTAAATTTTGATATTTGCAAAAATTACCACTAAATATATGATTTTATGCTTAGGTATATTTTTTTTCTTTTTATCACGAATTTCTCACTGAATTTTAACCATAAAATGTAAAACGCATTATAATTTTATAATACTAACCCAAAATCAATTTATTATTATGCATCCAAAAACAAATTTATAATATTATGTAGTAATTATATTTGACTGTAATGAATTGGAATTACTATTTTCATTTGAATTACATTTTATTTTAATAAGAAGTAAAAAAAATCAGAACCAGAAACATAATAAACACAATTTAAAAGTTTAGAAAAAGAAAACATTAAAGTAAAACTAAAATAATATTATTTTTTTTAAAAATTAATTGTGATGAATAACTTATATTATAATAAATTGAATTTAAGCTCATTTGAATTATCGTACATTTGAGATGACTGTCACTCTCTAATATTATTATTTGCTATATATTATGTGGGTATGTAATTATTTTTCATTTCATTCCATGTATTGCATTTACATTCAATAATCATAAAACTAATATACAAAACACAAAGAAAAAAATCAACACAAAGCATTTTTTAAGAAAAGTACTTGTACTAAATGATTATTACTCTTTAAAATTGTAAAAAAATGTTTTATTATTGTCCTGTATTATATTAAGTCAATTCTTTTTTTTTATTTAATAATAAAATACAAATTGTTGTCGATATGAGGAAAGACAAAAAATAACTGTTATAAGAAAATTTATTCTTTTTTATTTAATTTCAGATGTATGTATATTTACGATACTCACATGTAGTTTATAAAGTATTAAATATAAATCCTTTGATTAATTTGATCATTTTTTGTTATTATGATACTACTTTTTTTTTAAATAATTTTTCCATACAATATAATTTATAGTAATCACAGCAAGTATCAATATTTCCTTCAAATTTTCTAATGTATTTAGAAACTATGGTTTTGTTTTTTTTTTTTTGTTTTTCCAATAGGATTCACTAAAATCATAAATCAATGTCAAGTAAATGCGTTAAATATTCAATGAATATTTATATGAAGTAAAAAAATTAATTTCATAATAATTATAATAAGAATCATGAAAATATAAAATCAAAAGAATATATTTAGATTCTCAATGGTTGACAGGGTAATTTAATTTTTTATTTTACTTGTAGAAGTGTTGTTAAAATTTTCAACAACAAAAAAAAGGAAACTAAAAATAAATGCATTTAAAATTTTTAATTACTTTTTTCTTATTTTTACAATTAACAGATTTTTGTTTGCCTTGTTTTTATAATTTGTTTTTATTTTTTCTGTTATTCTTTGTTGCACGATCACCGAACGATCCAAAGACGGTGATATCTCGAACAAAACTAACCATATCAAGGAATGCTATGAATGTACACTGTAAACTGTTTTTACATAAAAAAGAAAAACAAAAAAGTAAATATTAAACGAACACGATGACAAGAAACAGGTAAAAGTAAAAACAACGTTAACTATATATTCATTAAAAAATGAAATCCACATTTAAAATAACGATATTACATTCAAGCCATTGGTCGTTTGAAACAAGAAACAAAAGAAAACAAAAGCCCCACTTACACGCGCACACCAATATTAGCGTAATTTAACTATATTCTATTATTCTTCCTTTAAAGAAAATATACGCAATAGTTTCTTATTTAATGATGTAGCTTTTACTCATAAGCGAGTGAAAATTATTTTTTAAATCGAAATTATACGACAGCACCATTAACACACACTAACGACACATTTCTAATTTATTTCTCATTTTATTAGTTAAACTTGAACACTTGTAACGATCACATCAGCAAAAAATACATGTTAGTAACTCATAAATGTTAAAAATAAAAGAATCTGATGTGATCAGTATATAACCGAACGCAAGATAAACTTTCTGCCTTGGCAGAAATGTGATATTGCAAATGTGTTGTAAAAGATTATGAAAATGTTCTTTAAACATTTTTTTCAAATTTTAAAATTATGACTTGAAAATTGTTAATTTCGTTCTTTAATATAGGCTCATTTGCATAAAATTCCCTGTAAAAAATGACCTTTACAAACAAACAGAACTTAAATATTGATAAAAAATATATGATTAACTTCTAGTGAAAGCTTCATTTTCTGGACCTGATATTCAAAAATTTCAAAAAAAACTTGTTTGATATTATTTTTGTCAAAAATGATCAAATAGTTTAGTGTCCATATTCGTGGCAATTGCGGCATTTAAGTACATCAATTGTATATCGATAACAGCATAGCATATTTGAACTTTAAAAAATAAAATGACCCTTAAAATTTACCGCTATCCAAAAATAATTTTTTGCATCGTTCTTCTTATAGAGCACAGGGTAAAGAAGTCTAAAATTTTAGATAGCTTTTGGACACTAATTTTTCTTCACTTCGCAAGAAGTCAAGTCTTCCTTTTCAGTCTTCACCCCTTCTCAAGTTATCAACTTTCGAAATTTATAAAATTCGAATTTTTGGCACCATATATTTACAAAACTGTAAGCTTTTCCAAATTTCTTTAAATATAGAAGGCCAACAAAAAATATAATTATTTTTCTTAACTGACCCTTGAATTCATGTATCATGTTAACCCCTCTTTAGATTTTTTTGTTTTATTCTAAAGATTGCATACAATGCTTACCCTTATGTACGCAATTTTTGAAATATTTTGGTATAGGGATGAAAAATAATGTAATTGATTGTTTTTAAAAGCAATATTTTCACCTGTTGAAGCGAAAAATGTTACTTTATAAATCATTGGTTTAGCTTAATTTTATTTTTTAAAAACAGCATTATTGTTATGAAACGTAAGTTTTTCATATAAAAATAATACTTTATAATCACATAGTCACATATTTTTAAAAAAAATTCCAATTTTTTTATACAGAAAATACGAATATGAATGCAAACAAATATCTGTGTTTATATTGAAAAATCGAATACATTATGTGATACATATTACATTACAACCGATCTTATTCCAAGAATATTTTGTTTTGTAATCATTACTCTCATTTCAAAATAAAACTCTCATTTCAAAATTAAAAACTCTCATTTTAAAATAACTCCCATTTATTTTTAAGTTCGCTCTGCAATTTATAATATAATAACATTTACGATGGTAAATGAAACAATATGTATTTGCACTCAAGAGAAAACTAGTGTTTTGACTGTTATGAGATATAAAAATTGTACTCATTAAAATTGAGTTCAAGTTTTAAAACTGAGTCAAAATTTTTTGTGATATCTTTTATAGTTTTATTTTTGTGTGATATTGTAAAGTTCACAGTTAAGTTAAAATTATATACTTAGGAGAACTTTAAATGTTATATCGTAATTCGTAATATTATTTAGTCAAACAAAAAAATAACGATTGCATAATGATATACATATTTATATGAACGTATGTATGTTTCGATATTTTACCTTCTTAACATTGTTGAAATAGCATGGTTTTTATACATAATATATATTTACTTTATAACTATTCTTACTGGTCAACTTAAAGGTATATTTTTGATTTTATATACAACAGAAATAAGAATGTAGTGTGAGTGATATACAAACAAATAATAATATAAAATTTTTAATATACATTATATTAATTAATTTAAATTTTTGAAATCATATCAAAATTTATTTTGATATTTTCTCAAAATTATTTTAATGGAATATATTTTTATATATCAAACATTTTATAAATTATAAAATAAAATAAGAAATAAATAAAATAGTTTACAAATAAATCAAATTAGAATAGAGCAGAAAGATATTATAAAAAAAACATAACAACTTCTCAAGCGCAATAAAGACGGAATTTTTTATACTATTATGAAAAATATGGCGTAACAAGTTACACCATATTTTACGCATTCAGGTAAGGTAAACTTCTTTTTCCCTTACTATTGGAGCAATATTTTCTCCTACACGACAACTGAAATACATCTCATCTTTTAAAAATTTTTAGATCTCAATAAATATTTCATTTTTTTCAACTTAGAACAAATTTCCTTTGTGATCCAGAGCTATTTTCTCTTAAAATTTGTAATATCTCAATATTCTTTCCATTTTTTTCTAATAAAAGCAAAATGTATACCTTATAGATACGTTAACTAAATGAATTTACAATCAAATTAGGTTTTATATAAGATTTAAGATTTCCCCAAAATATATGCAAAATTATTTAATAGTAATAGGAAGATAATTATCAATAGTGTATATAGTTTTTATTACTTAGACGTAAAGCTTTATAAATATAAATTCTTATAAGAGGTTAAAGGGAAATGATTCATTTTATACAACATGGATTGGACGGCTACATATTATGTATATTGTGGATGCACCATGAATTTCCCATTGCATTTGCAACAGTAGAAATTTGATAGTCGAATTTATAATTACAAAAATAAACATATTTATAGAATGATCAACAACATTCAGCATTCTACTGAAGTTAAGCAAAAATTATTAAGCAAAAGCATTACTACATATTTATTTAGAATTCGGTATATATTAAGATTGAAGCTAGAATTGTTACAAATAAATATGATTGATGCAAGGAAGGAGTATTTTGTGGGAGAAGTTGCTGGACAACATTCTCTACACAATATCAGTAATAACAACGGTATTCGCGCATGTAACTTTGCTGCAAGTCAAGGAATGTGGATTAGCAGTGTTTCCTTTCCACACAAAAATATACATGGGGAAACCTAGAAAATACCTGGAATGAGAGGTGCTAATCAAATTGACCATGTTATGATCGACAAAAGACTCGCAACTTCTATAGCTGACGTTAGATCATACAGAGGTGCGAATTGCGACTCAGGTCATTACTTAGTTGTTGCTAAAGTACATCAACGTATTTCAGATGTGAATAGTAGAAACAACTTCAAAAGAACTATATGGAACACAAGCAAAATTATTGAAAGTACTTCAGAACGCGTAGGATTTCAGCAAAAAGTAGAAGAAAAGATTAATGGAAATCAACGTGAAAACGAGACTAATGTATCTGATAAATGGAACAACATAAAAAGTATACTGAGCCATGCGGCAAATGAAACAATCGGCAAAAAAATCAATAATTCAAATGAATGGTACGATCAGCAATGCAAGCAATTGAACGAAACGAAAACGCAAGCTAAAAGGAAATGTTTAGGTGCACCAACGAGACAAAACTTACAAGACTACCAACAAAAAAGAGGAATCGCTAAGAAGGCGATAAGGAAAAGGAAAAAGCGGTACATTAAAGGAAAAATTGAGGAAATAGAAAACGATTTTAAACAAAACAAAGTAAAAGGTATGTACTCAAATATTAAAAAACAAACAAAGAAGTTTCAGCCCCGAATAAACATATGCAAAGATAAAAATGGAAGTATCATAAGAGACAAACAGAAAATCATAGCGAGATGGATGCAGCATTTCGGCGAACTCCTGAACAGCGAAAATGGAAACGAATTTGATAATGATAATGGCAACCATGATACAATATTGTACCGTACAGTCGAGAATGTGATGGAGCTACCCACACTTAATGACATTAAAAAAGCTTTAAATAAGCTAAAAAACAACAAGGGTGGAGGTGAAGACTCTATCACTGCAGAATTATTGAAATACAGCGGTACAAGGGTATTTAGTGAATTACGTGGCATAGTATGTCAGGTATGGCAAGAAGAGACCATACCACGGGAATGGCTTACGAGCATCATGATTCCAATTCATAAGAAAGAAGACAAGACAATATGCAACAATTATCGTGGTATATCACTATTAGATACTGGATACAGGGTATTCACAAATGTATTATACGATAGAATTAATTTATTTGCTGAAGAAATATTGGGTGACTATCAGTGCGGTTTCAGACAAAATCGATCTACGACAGACCAATGCTTTATACTGTGTCAAATCTTTGAAAAATTTTTTGGATATTCTATTGACATGCATTGTTTGTTCGTAGATTTTAAGCAAGCGTTTGACAGCATAAATAGGTCAGGAATAGAGCAAATTCTTCAAGTTAATGGCATACCCAAGAAATTAATTAAATTAACAATGATGACACTTACGAATACGGTTGCCAAAGTACTTATTCAGGGAGAGTTATCAAACTCGTTTGAAATGAACTCAGGCGTAAGACGGGGCGATGCGCTATCGTCTTTAATTTTTGATCTTGTGTTAGATAGCGTTGTTAGGGATGTAGATCCCGGCGGTACAATATTCAATAAAAGCGTGCAAATATGTGCTTATGCCGATGACATCGTGATGCTTTCAAGAAATCTGAGCGACTTGAAAGAGACTTTTGAAAAACTTGAAACGACGGCTATAACAATGGGGTTAAATATAAATACAGACAAAACAAAGTATATGTTCGAACCAACAATAAATCCCGATCGCCACAGAATTTGGTGATCGGTGGTCATGAATTTGAAGCGGTTGGGGAATTTAATTATCTTGGCATGTTATTAAGTTCTGATAGGGAAACATCAATTGCCATATTACGACGAATTCAATCTGCAAACAAAACATATTATGCCCACAGAAAACTGCTGCACTCAGGGCTTCTATCAAGAAACCAAAAATTACAAATGTACAAAACGCTGATAAGGCCGGTTCTAACATATGGATGTGAAATTTGGACATTAAAATCTACCGACATCGGTGCACTTGCATCGTTCGAAAGAAAAATACTTAGAGGTATATATGGACCAATAAGATCTGACGACGGTTCTTACCGAATTGGGTATAATCACGAAATCGAAAATTTAATAGAGGGGCGAAATGTAATTGGGTTCATAAAAGCAGAAGGGATTAGATGGCTGGGACATCTATTAAGAATGGATGATGCAAGAGCAGTTGGAAAAGTTTTTAAAGGAGTGCCTGAAGGATACAGGAGACGTGGCCGGCCAAGAAAAAGATGGATCGAAGACGTAGAAGCAGATTTAAGATCAATGACCGTCGTTAATTGGAACAATCTTGCAAAGCAGAAAGATCAATGGCGGGCGGTGGTAGCAGAAGCTATGGTTCACCCCGGACTGTAAAGCTAAGATGATGATGATGCAAGGAAATTTAGATGGTTTCAATAAAATATTCAATATGTCATCGAAATTAAACTTACTTTAATAATATTCATCAGAATCAGTTTTATTAATTCTACGACTATCAATTTATATTTGTGCCGCTTAATATATGCATGAAAAATAGTAAATTGAAAAAATTATGATTGATTATCATATTTTGGAGATATTTTATAAGAAATATGTAATATTATTCTTCTTTGATGAAGTTATATAAATAATAGGCTTGTTAAATTAATAATAACTTAGATTATTTTTTAAAATAAAGTTGGAGCAAACCAATTGTTTGTATTATTCAACAGGTGAAAATTCTGCTTTTAAATACAGTCTATGTATACCTATCACACTATTAAAATTATTTTCATTCATATACAAAACTATTTCTAGTATTGCATATATTTAGGATAACGCATACATGCAGTCTTTGAAATAAAGCAAAAATTAATATAAAGTGGGGTTAATATAATGCTCGATTTTAAGGGTTAATTGTGTGAGTTAAGAAAAATAATTATATTTTATAATGTCATGGAATTAATCGTTAGCTTTTTGTGTTTATAGAAATTTGAAAAAGCTTGCGGTTTAGGAAATATATGGTGTCAAATATTCAAATTTTACAAATTTCAAAAGGCGATAACTTGAGAGGGGGTAGAGATGGAAAAAAAATTTTTCTAATGAAATGAACTATTTATTAATGTCTAAAAGCCCCTAAAATTTCAAGCTTCTTCAATCTGGGGTCTAGAAGAAAAACGACATCAAAAATTTGAAAAAAAAAGACTTTAGATAACGGTAAATTTGAGCGGCCATTTTGTTTTTCTAAAGTTAAACTATTGTATACCGCGGTAGGGGAAGCAAGTCACTGCTTTTCTGCATTTGCAAAATTTAAAAATACTTATGGTTTAATTGCAAGAAATAGTTAAAAAAGGCGATTGTTATAGTTTTGGAGGGTATAACTTCTAGAGGGGGGGAGATTGGTAAAAATTTTGTTCAACGGAAATAAGTTTCTAGTAAAGATCTATGTACGTATAAAATTTCAGCTTTCTATCTTCAAGGGTGTAGAAGTTTTGTAAACAGACACACAGACAGCCGGACGGACGGACAGAGTGAAACTAATAAGCACTTTTTTTCAAAAAATTTTTGGAAAAGTGCTAATTACTAAATATGAATCACGAAATATTCATGGTATAGTAAATAATAATTTATAAAACTAGAATAGACTTGAAAAAATGTAAAAAAAACTAAAAGGTCCTTTAGACATCTTTTTCCAATAATAGGTAGGTTATGTGATGGCAACAAATTTTGCATATCGAGTTTTCGGTGGGAACGTACTTCTCCATAGTAGGGAGTAAGTGTAAATAAACTATTTTTAGCAACTATATATTCTGTCGGTCTGTCGGTCTGTGTGTGCACGCGTGTATCTCAAGTTCGGCTGAACCGATTTTGATGAAATTTTATATGTAAGTTTGTTTCCACCATGGCACGGATTGATCAACTTTTGGTATATATCAGGCCTCGGGAACTGCACTTTTTAGCGGGCCTGTTTTACATTTTTGAACATTTTGAAGAAAATATTCAACCGATTTACTTGAAATTTTATATATAAGTTCAGCTCGACCGTCCGCAAAAATTCGTATGCTTTGGAAGAAATCAGGCATCGGCAACTAAACGTTTACTAGGGGCCAAATATACATTTTTGTGTATATAAAGAGAAATAATCAACCGATTTCATTGAAATTTAATATATGAACTCCTCGTATTAAAACAATGAACATATAAATTTTTTGGAAAGATCAGGGCTCGAGAACTGATTTGCGGGCCGATTTTACATTTTTCACCATATCCACAGAACAAATTGATGGAATTTCTTGAAATTTGATATTTGAGTTCTGGTTGTTACCGAAACTAACTGGCGAGGATTTCAGGGAATTCGGGTAGCACAAAGCGAAACTCTACTAAGAGCCAAATTTACATTTTTCTAAATATGTTAACTATAAGCTTACTAATGTCCTAAAAATTGGAAAGAAGTATTTAACAGATACTTTTATAATATTCTGTAACACTTTAATTTAACTAGACAATACACAATGCGGTCGGTTATGTGCTGACCACATCAGATTTTTTTTTTATTACAGTAATATTTCTGACATTTCTTTTCATTCTAAAAGTATGCAATAATCATAAAATTATATGATATAAATAAAGAGAATTGTGTAAATAGAATATAGCGTTTTGCTTTTTTATGATTTCACTTATTTAAGGGAAATGTTTGATTTTACAGACCAGTGAGTTTAATTTTAATTTACGGGCTCTATTTTCATTGAAGATAAAAACTCTTAAACTTTTCTGCTACCGAAGAGGAGGTGATGGTGGTTTATATTCTGTACTCATATCCAGCTTTAGCACGGGAAGGGCTAGAGCCCTTGGGTCGCTTTCCTTTTTGCAAGTTACGGTCCTAACAAATGTACTCGTAAGTATCAGGGGTTTAGAACAGTTTATAAAAGACTTGGGCTGGTTCATGTGGATTGGGGATATGAAAATCTAGTGCTATCAAAACGGGCATACTTGACTCAAGTGAACCCTATGTTTCAACCTAATCGAATTAATGTTATCAGCTTTTGTTGTATAACCGTTGCTGTTGAAATCAATGTTATAGTATCAAATTTAAGTAGTCAATTAACATCATTTAATTTTTTCCTTCAGAGTTGATTGAAATTAAAATTTTAGAAACTTCCTATATAAAGTCTTTGCTCGATTTTTTGTTATTTTATCTACATTTTAATGTTGATTTTTTTTATAATTATGCAATATTATAATATTGTATAAAATAACAATATTTTTAAATAGTAAAAATTTTATACCATGTTTTTTATGACAGTGTGGATTTTTAAAGCAAACTACAATTTTTGATTTTATATTTTTTCAGATATCCGAAAAAAATTGTAATAGCAGTTATTTACTGCGTTTATTTAGAGCTGGAACTGACTTTAAGCGGATTTTGAGTTCACAAAAACGTTACTGATCTGAAATTTTCAAGTCAAGTCAATCCAATAAAATTATATGCATGGGAATCGTCGTCATATACAAGCGATCCGCCATATAAACGAAGTAAATGTCTAAATCAAAGTCTTCATCAAAGTCGCATTCGGAGTTGATTTAACCATGTCTCTTTAGCGGTCCGCCCGTCCGAACTATAACTCAAAAACTAATTGAGCTAAGGTCATCAAATTTTTACAAATAATTTAAAATAGTGAGTTCCAGAACCCTATATAAATGAGATGTTATCGAAGCAGTTCGCACAGAGAAATATTGTGAACATTTTCCAAAACCCGATAAGTCGATTTTTCGCAAAATCGAGACATTAATGAAAATGGAATGGTAAATATGAGATCTTTGCTGCAACGAAGACTCATAATTCAATGCAATAGGTAAAGCGTTCGTTGATGCATAAAACCATAACCCGGTAAAGTTTAATAAAACCATTTATCGACATCATACCGTTGCCAAAGCCTGATATTTATCATATCGTTCATTAGAATAAACCGTAAAATCATTAAACAGTCTTATACAAGTATGCCAAACCCGATATGTCCCATACCGTAACGGTAAGAGATAGTTTTAACCAGGAAACAGAATGTTATATGTGGAACGAAACAGTAGCTGGACGGGGATCACATGAAATTGCTTCGTGCTTGTTTAAAAAAGTAATCTCATTACCCGCAACAATCAAGTATAATGTACTCTGATACATGCGGTGGCCAGAATAGAAATTTAAACATGACGGCCATGTTAATGACGGTAATACAAAAACGAATGTTGAATACATTGATCAAAAATTCTTTGTACCTGGCCACACACATTTAGAATGCGATTCAGATCTCGCTCGCATTGAAAGGACCAAAAAACCAGTGACGTGAGTATAATGTTACCAAGAGATTGGTACAATTTTGTTCGTACCTTCAGAGGTAAAATTCCATTGAATGTGTCTCAAATGACACAAAACGATTTTTGTAAAACAGTTCTTATGAAAAGGAAAAAGGATACCGACGATAATCCTGTTAATTGGCTTAAAATTAGATGGATAAGAATCACCAAAAACTTAGTTTATGTTTATTTTAAATACCATTTGAAGGACGAAACGAACCTTAAAATAATAGATTTCTCAAGGACAATAATCTCATAAAATCAAAAAAGACATATTTATTGTCAATTTTACATTTAGTTGACATTTAATTTCTTGCTATGAATTTTGAAAAAATTTTAAAGCCAATAATGATGCTAGTTACAGCTACTTGTCTGAAGAGGATGTTTATTTGCATGCATAGTACAAAAATATATTATAAAAAAAGACTAATAATTGATAGCTTACTATTATTATTAACCAAAATAATAATACTACTTCATTTTTGAAATATGTACGAGTATGAATAACTTTTTTGTTTGTTTTTTTATATTTAAAAAAAAATATGGAAAAGAAATTTGTTTTTTTTTGGTAAGAAATAGGTAATTTCATATTAACTTTTATAATACTAATATGATACCTAATTTGCTGGTTATTACCTAATTTGATTAAGATAATGTAAAAATTTTATGATAAATCATTATATTAAAATTTTTGATCTTCATATAAATTTTTGTTTGTTATTTTATAAATAAGAAAGGATAAATATGTTTTTTAATAAAAAAATTTCTTTGAACAATATCTTTTACAATGGCGAAAAATACAAGAAAGAAATAGTTCTGAAGTTGTACAAGTTGTCTAAAAACAATTTTTTCGTCTTTTTGCGTTCATTTTTAAAAATATGATGTATAAAAACACAAATATAATGTGATAAAGACTATTATTTCTTTGAAAAATCGTTTTTGGCAGAGTATACTATTAAATACGTTACTTACAATTTTCCAAAACCCGATTGAGTTTTTCACTCCTACCCCCCCCCCCCCCCCCCCCCCCCATTTTATATTCCCAA